TGTTTCACGCCTTTATAATTACTGCTAATGGTTTTGTCTGTCCACAGAGTGCGCAACTCTCCATGAGACTTGTGTGAAAAGCTGGGCGCTTGGCCGCTTCCTCCGGATCCTTAACGGTTGCCTGCGTGAGCTACTCCTTCTGATCCTGGGGCCACTTGGACCTCAGAGGGAAGTTCTTCCGGCTGCCGATGTATAGTAAGCTCACCTTGTGCCATGTAGAGGCTTTTACATGTTCTCGGAGGTAGCAGTGCGAGGCAATTTTTGCGGTGACAAGTTACGCAGGTAGTCGAGCCTGCATAAGAGCGCTTGGCAAGATCAAAGGGAGGCCCCTTGCGTAACACGCGACTCCGGATGGGACTTCTGTAAGCGCCTTCGCGGTGCACCTGTGCCTACAAAAATGGCACCGCACTCTGAGCAGGTCACCAGGCTGTCTGCCTGCGCTTCCGCTGACATGTACGTGGGCTAGTTGCGCTGCTATTCTTTCTGGTAAGTACAGCGGAGTCAGGGCTGAGTCCGCTTGCGCTTGTCGCTTCGCAAACTTCTGCAATCTCTCCTGCAGTTGCTGCTGAGCTGTGGGCACGCGGTGTCGCCGGAGTAGCTCCTGGGCTTCGACTCGCGGGTGTCCTGGAATTAGCTCCTCAGGACGAACCGTAATTGATATGTAAGAGCTTAGCAAGCCGTGTTGTGCTAACCCTACCACATGCAAGCCACACATGGCAGAAGCCCACGCGGTGATGCGCCATACCGATTTTCGCCTGCCTGTCGAGATGGCCACTTCCGTCACTGTGGCTTTGCTGGCCGACATGCGATGATGAAGAGTCTTGGATTCATAATCCTGGTATGAGAGGATAACGCCAACATACGGAGTTTGGTTTTGCTGTGAGACTAGCTGACTAGCCTGCCTGCAGGCAGCTCCACACACTTGACGCCATCTACCTTGCGTATTTGCTTCTCTCCGACCGTCTGAGCAGAGCCTCCTTGAAGCTGGAGCAGAACGGCTGACTTACCGTGAAGCCAAGCTCCACCAGCTGATCCAAGAGTATGTCGCAGAGCTCTGGGGCTTCCTGCAGCTCAGTAAAGTCAGCGACGTGTTGTTGTAGCAAGCTGTCACCCGCGTACATCGTTAGAAGCTTGGCTAGCTGACTTGCCTAACTGTTGCCGACCTGCGAAATAGCAATCCTGTGGCAAAGGCGCATAGTGACCGGGCCAGTTTACAGCCTTGTGCTAAGGTGTGATCCGAGGTAATCATCTGATAAAGTGCTCGTATGTCGAGACACCCAACAACTTCTATAAGAAGTGGGTCTGCCGAGGCTGCTTCAAGTGCTTCGCGTAGACGGACTCGGTCGACTGTATCAAAAGCTTTGCTCATGTCCACGCTTTAAGTGAGGCTTCCCCGCAGTTTTACTCCCTTGTTGCCCTGTCCCGCTTCCCTCTGAAATTTTTTGCGAGCGATCTCTTGCTTCATCCATGTGCGTTTGAGATTTGCAGATGGCTTCCTCATTCGCTTTGCCGGGACGAAGCCGGACTGGGTGACACCCGACATGGCCTGCTTGAGCTCTTCAAGCGTTGTCGCACGAGACCAGCAAGAATGTTGCCCTCGGGTGCAGTTACCCCTATCGGTCTGAGGGATGACGGGGGATCGAGCGTCTTGAGGGGGTTTAAGCAGCTATGATATCTTGGAGGATGTGATTGCTGTAGAAAGCTCCGACCGACTGACGCCCTGGTTCAAGAGATCTGCCAAAAGCTGATGCGCCTCTGGACCAAGAGATCTGCAAGCTACAACCGGTGGGCAGCCTCTAGCGACTGCTTTGCCAACCTCAGTAGTCTTCAGCTGATCTCTGACCTCGGCAGCAGAAGTTTCTAATCATCCCGTGATTCCTGTCACTGAGAAATCCTGACCGCTACCAAACAGGTCTTTAGAGTACGTCTCTAGTTGAACCCTCTCCTCCTGAGAATTCAGGAAATGACCGTTTTACTGAGCTGCACACTTGCTCTGTTGGCTTTCCGGACTTGAATTTCTTGATGATCTCGAACAAGGAGTGAATACCATACTGCTTAGACTTGGAGGCTGCTTGAAGGAGCTGTGCGTCTATCTCGGCCTGTCCCTGACGTTGCTTCCTTTGTTTAGCTGTGCGGGCTTGGCGGCTTTGGCTGGCCATTGCCTGCCAGCATCGCCAGACCATGCGGACTTTCAAGTTCGAGCGCAGGTCCGCCAACACCTCAAGGACCTTTCCCATAAGCTGATGTCCTCAGGCCGCCGCTAGCCGACCTTCTGCAAAAGGGGCTACGGACGGTGGCTAGCTTTTCACCAGGCGAGCTTCGGTACCCCGCACGCTAAGCCGACCAGGTTGCTACTCAAGACAACTGCTATGCCAGACTTTGTCTACGAAGGCATGCCCAGCTACAACGAAAATGCTGCTAAAGGCCTCAAGACCTCAGGCTCTGAGAAGTGGCCCGCTAGGATGTGCCAGTGGCTCGCTGCAATCCTGGCCGACTCCTGCCAGCACCCTGCTAACGCGCCCCAGGAAGGGGGGTGCTGGACCGGGTGTCCGCTACCCGAGGCCTTCCCGACCTGTGAGCCGGAAGCGGTGCTGAGTGGAAAGCAACTTCGTAGAGCCTGGTCCATTGTGGAGCTCAGCGAGACCCAGGATAGCTCAGTGGTCAACGGAGTCAGTGAAGGCGTTGATTTTGGGGTCTCTTAGTCTATAACTGTCTTCCACGGTTGACTGATTGTAGAAAGGAACTGCTGAAGCGGAGTATCTCCTGCTATGATGTAGGCCTCCTAAAATAGGGTAGCGACGGCTGCCGTCCCTCCATTGTGTTACCGGGAATTGTCTTTTGGGCTGGCACGCTTTCCCGGACCTGTCGCCTGACTCATCCGAATGAGTGCATAGTCAATCTGAGTGACCGAATTGCCTTGACTGTGAGAGGCAGGTCGTTTGACTCCCCATGTGTTAGCGCCTCTGCGCCCCAATCGGCTGACATTCAGGGTGCAGGGTCCTACATGCTTCCGGTCCGTACGAAGAGACATGTTGTAATCTCCCAGAACTAACAGTGCGTTTCGGCTTGGGAGCCCCGCAAGGATTTACTCAAGGTATTAAGGAAGACTGTGCGTAGTTTCTTATTCGCTTCAAGTGTTTGCTTGGATCTCGAGACGCACTGGTAACGGTAACGGCTGAACACGTCATGGACACCTCTGTTCCGGGATTCGCGCGTGCAGCAACCGACCTGGCTGCAGCTCATTGAAGCGAATTTCACTCGCCTTGCAGAGTAACTGATGAATCATCACTCGGACCCCCGCTCCCTTCACACCTGTGGAGCCTAAGCTCAGAACGGGCCAATCACCTTTGGAGAACTGCCAGCTACCACGCCAGTGAGTTTCCTGTATGGCTAATCTCTTGACGTGCTAGCAGTCCGAGGTTTTAAGCACGGAGAGTAACTCTTCCCACACAGCCGTCGTCAACGAACCTGAATTCCATGTGAGATAATTCACCCTGGTTTGATCAAAGAATCCTGTTGATTTCCCTCGAGTTGTTTGCTTGGGCTGAGCTGGCGATGCTGGAGCACCTCCTAATAGTGTGATTGTCATTTAGTACTGCACACTACCATTCTGAAAGGCCTTACGGACTGCCTTTTTGGTAAGATCGTTTACACTCCCTTTAGGAGCATGCTGTCTTGTCGTGGTCAAATCACTGGGCTGTTTCGCTGAACTGATGTTCAGTACTGCTCCTGTCGGCATCGCAGAACCGACAACCCTCACCCCTGTGACCTCTCAGTGCATACTGTACAGTAAAGCGAATGGTTCCCTCCCGGACTTGGGGCCGGGACAGCTATGACAGCTCAGGCGCTGGCAAATAACATGGCAAGTAAGGAAGAGGCAAACTGTACTAGCCGCTAGCCTGACCTGACCTGAGACGAGAGGCTTACACTACTACTACTACTACTACTACTACTACTACTACTACTACTACTACTACTACCACTACCACTACTACTACTGCTACTACTACCACTACTGTACTACCACTACTACTACTACCACCACTACTACCACTACCACTACCACTACCACTACCACTACCCCTACCCCTACCCCTACCCCTACCCCTACCCCCCCCTCCCACTGCCACTGCCACTGCCACTGCCACTGCCACTGCCACTGCCACTGCCACTACCACTACCACTACCACTACCACTACCACTACCACTACCACTACCACTACCACTACCACTACCACTACCACTACCACTACCACTACCACTGCTACCACTGCTACCACTACTACCACTACTACCACCACTATTACTACTACTACGACGACTACTACTGCTGCTGCTGCTACCACTACTACTACTACCACTACTACTAACACTAACACTAACACTAACACTAACACTAGCACTAGCACTAGCACTAGCACTAGCACTAGCACTAGCACTAGCACTAGCACTAACACGAACACGAACACGAACACGAACACGAACACGAACACGAACACGAACACTAACTCTAACTCTAACTCTAACTCTAACTCTAACTCTAACTCTAACTCTAACAACTACTACTACTACTACTACTACTACTACTACTACTACTACTACTACTACTGCTACCACTACCACTACCACTACCACTACCACTACCACTACCACTACTACTACTACTACTACTACTACTACTACTACTACTACTACTACTACTACTACTACCACTACTACCACTACTACCACTACTACCACTACTACCACTACTACCACTACTACCACTACTACCACTACTACTACTACCACTACCACTACCACTCCTACTCCTACTCCTACTCCTACTCCTACTCCTACTAGTACTACTTGTGCTACTAGTACAGCTAGTACTACGAGTACGGGTAGTACGACTAGTACTGCTAGCACTGCTAGTACTGCTAGTACTGCTAGCACTACTGGTACCACCACTACTACAGTACTTACTTGTACTACCACTCCTATTCCTACTCCTACTCCTACTAGCACTCCCACTGCCACTGCCGCTGTGCCACCATCACCACTACGACGCCGATTGCTGCTGCTATCACCCGTGCTGCTACGAATGCGACGACTCGCTCGACGACGAAGTTGGGAAGATCAACCTGGTTGTAAACGTCTGAGCAAACAAGGAAACACATGCCGGCCTGAACAATGTCGTTGGTAAGGACCGCCAACGGGCGGTGCCGAGTGAGCTCTAAGGCCTGAAACTTCCGTTGCACTGCATGGCACAGCTCGTGAGGCAGCAGTTGCAAGCTGCATGATTGCTGCTTGGACGCTGGAACCGCGCTGACACTTCCACACATGCCAAGCCCTTCCTGGCCTGTGGGTGCAGCCAGCCCGCCGACGCCTCGCTGGCGCCTCACGGGATGCAGGTGTGCGGACTGTCCTTCCATGTCAGCATCGCCGCCTCCTGCCAGGGCTGTGGAAGGCACCCAGTCGTAGCGCCCAAGCTCGGCATGGAAGGTCAGCAGGGCGCTGTCTAGCATCTCACGGGAGTACTGCTCCATGCGTGCCTCGCAGGACGCGCAGCTATGACGTCTCACAGATCGGGATGCTCGGAGTTGAGGTCTTGCAGCGGGTGCTGTTGTCGGGTGCAATACTGGCCATGAGACAAACTAACTCCCATTGAGAGGCGCCCGAGATGGAAAAAAGCAGATACTAGATCCGTGGGGTTGGTTTTGACATGTCGGCGCACATTTTGGCATGTCGGCCCGCGTTGTTGGCATGTCGGCAGCAGTCAAGTCTTGCCAAGTCGGTGCTTACCTTCTTGCATGTTGGCGCGCACTTTTGGCATGTGGCTTTTCAAATTAGCCACGTTCGCCAACTGCCATTGAGTCATTCCACCTACACTCCTTTAGTCATGTTGGCGCTTCTTTTCGGTGCATGTCGACGCCAACAGTACAGTTACTTTTGCATTCCATGTGCATCTGTGCACGGACGCTCACTCCGTCACTCGCCCGCTCGGAATGTCTGAAAGGAAATCTCCCTTGTTCATCAAATCGCCACCTGTCCGAGGCCACTTGCTTTCTGTCTGTCTGCCTGTCTGTCTATCTGTCTCTCTCTGTCTCTCTCGCTCGTTCTGTTATTTGCTTGGTCGCATGGCCTCGAAGATCCCTGCCACCGCTGGAAAGAAATGCCCACCTGCGGCTTGCACTGCAAGCTCAGGTCTCTCCAAAGTCACTGCACACATATCGACTCTCAGGACAGAGTGTGAATGCAACCGGATACAACATCGCGAGCCCATGAATGAAGGACATGAAGGTGATGAACACTATGATATCGGTGTAACAAAGCTAAAGCCTGCTGATGCACCTGCCTAATCGCTTCAGCGTAGACGATGCATGGACACACTGTCGAAGAACAGTCGTCAGCTGTGCAGCGTCGATCTTGGCCTGAAGCGAAGATTCCAGCGGGGACCGGACCGCGCTGCACGGCGCTTTGGAAGCACCGGTGCTCCGTGTCATGCATTGGACGGACTCGCCAAGTCGAGGCACGCTGAGTGTCGTTGCAGAGCCTTTGCCCTTAGCCAAGGTTCAATGTCGAGCGCATGAACTTTGCGCAAACCAGGAGAACTGCCGACAATAAGTCACAGGATGATCTCATCTCTGGGAAGGACATCGACATGTTCTGTTTCGGCTGTTTCACCGCATGGCGATGAGAACTGAAACAGTGCCAGTAGAGCACCAACCGAGCCAAACAGAGTGCCAGATTTTCCCGCGCACTTGCAAGCATGGGTCACTCGCGCTCGAACTCGAGGGAAGCACGTGGTGGCGCAGCAGCATCATCAACCACCTCAGCCACGCCATGCCATACCCATGCAAAGCCGAACCCAACATGATGGACTCAAATGCTTGCCTGCACCTCGACTGCACTCCTCGAACTTTGACCCTGCGGCGCCCTTTGAGTATGCAGACGGGGCACGTGACCTGGCTGTTGAGCCAAGTCCCAAGGGGCCCGTCGTCTTGTGGGAAAAGAGCCTGCCGAACGGACTGAAGCTGTTTGAAGACGGTCTTCTGACATAGGATTCATAGGATGCACACATTGTCGTTGCCTTGTACTGTGTGCCGATGTCGTATACGTGCCTCAGAAGATACCAGAAGCATCGTCCGGAACAAAGGAGAAAAAGCCACTGAGGCACTACTGCACCGGCGAGATGCGTCCGCAGCAGGTCAGCTGCATTCCGCAGCGCCGTCCCCACCTCCACGAGCTGTGCAGTCTTCGAGGGTTAAGAACTCTGCGGTTCGGCTTAATTGTAAAGTTGTAAAGAGTGGTTGTTGCCACACTTTGCTTCGCTTAGCGGATAGGGCTCACGTCGTCAACATCGCCAAGCCGCCCTTCAGCTTACTTAGCTTAAGCCGGGCTGAGGATCCTGCACTGCCACGGCTGTGGCGAAGAAGTTCAACCTGTTGCTTGTGGGTATCCAGGAACTTGCTGCGATGCCTTAGCTCTCTGCGTCCGGGGTACAGTAATGCTGACACTTCCCCAGACGAAGAATACCAAGGCACTCAATGAAGAGTTCACGAAGTTCTTCCTGCGAAGTGACCCAGGTGAAAGCAGCTAGAAACTGCATCTGCCATGGTAAATCTTACGCCACCTACTTAACCCAAGGAATGGCAGCCATCACTCAACTACCCTGCCGTATGTTTTCATGGCAATCTTGCAGGGTGAGACAGCTCTGTTTTGCGTTCTCAGCGGTGCAAGATTTCCTCCATCCAGCGAAGAGAAAGCAAACTCCCGATTGAAGGTCTTTCAGAATATCACAGGACATCCTGCATCTGCCACGAAAAGCCGCAGTAACCCTCAAATCGAGTAGGGCAGCATGGCTCAAAGTTGATCTAGTGTGAGCTGGTCTATGAGACTCAATGCTTTGCCTTTCTCATGCTCGTCCGGAAGGCCCAACAAAACAACCAGCTCAGTGCCAGAAGCCAGGTTTATAGCACACAAGCCGGCAGTCGTCAATGTCCTTGACAGAGGCTTGATGGCCCGCCACTCGGAACGGGTGTATCAACTCTTGCTGTGTCGTATCGGGGGTCTGAACGCCAAGATTGACTCCTCTGGTGCTGCGAATGCCCGAGCCGTCTGCGCAAACTGTCCATGATTGAAACTCTGGCCACTTGCTACGGGCTCAACAGTCTTGCCACAGGCCCCGGAAATAGAAATAGCCCCCTGCCTGATTTGTAGTTGCGGGCATCTGTGCTTTACAAGCACTGGAGTGACCGGTAACAATAATATTGTACATTTTCTGATGGGGTCTGCGGATCCGCACTTTCCCTACTTGGACGGTTGTCGATAAAAGGCGAAGTGTTCCATGAATTCGGCTTCCTGAAAAAAAACAAAGATACCAGTACGATATCTGGAAGACAGCCTACCACCACATTGAGCATTGCCCTCTGGCCCTGTTGTGTGTGTGTGTGTTTGTTTGTTTGTTTGTTTGTTTGTTTGTTCGTTCGTTCGTTCGTTCGTTCGTTTGTTTGTTTGTTTGTGTGTGTGTGTGTTTGTTTGTTTGTTTGTTTGTTTGTTTGTTTGTTTGTTTGTTTGTTTGTTTGTGTGTGTGTGTGTGTGCGTGCAACCCCTTCCCAATGTGTACAGTAGCATCGAAGTCAGTCCTCGGAGTGGCGCTGCACTCGCCGCAGGAAGCCGACAATGCGCACGCAGGCTGGAAGATGGATGTCCTTATCGGAACTAGGTCTGGGAGAGGCTGCGGATGCAAAGACGCACCGCTCGTGTCTTTCTCAACTCTCGCAAAACCGACTCCGGACCCCAAAGAATGAAACCCAGACAGTTCTCAAGCAGCTATGCCGACTATGCCAGCACAAATCACAAACAGCGAACACAACATCTAGTAGTCCAAGCATGTCCAAGCCCTACAAAGTCAAGAACCATTCCAGGAGATTCCAGGAGCACACTGCTTTGGACTCCATGAAGAAACTGTGGTGGGAGCACGTGAGACCTCAAAGTGTGGCCCTGCTCGGGACATCAGGGGACTGTGACCGTAATGCATGCCACTGGCACACACAAGATTCATCAGTTTCGGAAGTGCGAGAGGGGCCGAGGAATGCCGAGGACGGCGGAACGATCCCACTGCCTGAAGTTACTACCTTCTCAAACCCGCTATCCTTCGACACCCGGATGTATCTTGAGTATGCAGCCCGCAGGTGCAACCATCCTGAACTTTGTTTTCGGCGATTCAGGCCTAATTAGGCATGCAGTTGAGGGAGAAGTAATGAGGGAAAGCTTGTTGGGGCTGTCCCTGATGTGCGATGTTTGACCCTTCAGTTGCTGCAGGGATTCCGTTCTGAGCTGCGCCGCCAAGGAATCGCGGAGATTAGTCCTTTGCACAGCCACCTCAGGCATCCCATGGAAACTCTGCGAATCTTCGGAAGGCAGAAGGAGGACATGCTCTTTGCGGATGGTGCCATGTTAGCAGAGCTATGCAGGCCTGATGCTTCATGTGCGTCAAAACATGGATGTCTTCTCCGCGAGCTTCATGTGCTTGTAACAAGCTCTTGCAGAAAGCCTAAGCTGCGAGTGCTGCCGAGATTTTGCCATCAAGCGACCGATCGGGGCGAGACATGTTTGCCATCGTACGGGCCCCCATGATGAAGCCGTCACTCAGTCGCCACCAAGATCCCCGAAGCCCAGACTCAGAGCTGGGGCTGGGCGGGCTGGGAGCCCTTGTGCAGCCGAGGTCACAAGAAGCTCCAAGGACTCTTCGTACATCTGATTCCGGACACAGGCATCTAGCCTCGTCTAGGTGCTTCGCCGCTCCACAGAAGCACAAAGGCCCAAGAGAAGCTAAGAGCGATCTCCGCCGGGCCACAGCTGAGGCAGCTCCAGAAGCTCGAGCAGAGCGCCGTGCTGCGTCAGCCTGGAATCGACTTTGGCGACCAAGCACTCGAAGTCCTAAATCCATTCGCTATATGGGACTTTATGCATCTTTATGCAGTTTGGCATCGTTTCTGTCCGTCTTAAACCGAAAACCAAGTGTCACATTCCGCAAGGCAGCTCGCCGTGTGCCCAGGCCTCCAAGCTTTGGATGTAGCTTCTACTGACTGCACCCATTTGGACACCATGTCGCTTTCGGTAATACGCTGCGGTAAAGTGTTTTTGGATTTGCAATCTTGCCTGCGGAACTGCCCAGACATTCCCTGCATACTCGGCCGCTTGCATCGTTGTTGATCCTTCTTGAAAAGTATATCACTAATGGCACTACGCGGCGTGACGCGTGACCAGCCTGCTGCTTTATCCTGCACCTGGGAGATGGTCTCCTCAGTGAGGCAAAGAGATGCTTGAAAACCCTGGCTCTGTCTCTCCTGGGCGGGCTCCAGGAGTTCGACCATCCTTACCGAGCCACTGTGCAGCTGAGTATGTGCTCAGCATACAGGAATTTGTTCGAGACTTGGCCTCTGACTCTTGCAAGCTGGCTTGAATGCTCGACAGCTCCTTCAGTGATCTGTGCAAAGGATGCTCGTTTTGCGCAGTTTTTTCCGCTGCCCTGTTCTCCTGTCGTACTCCCTGCGTGACCTCAGCACTGCCAATGAATGCGCTGTAGTTTTGTACGGCCAGCTGCTCCATTTCCCTTTCGCAGCGGTCCTCGGGACTCCCAGAGAGTCAAGCAGGGATGCACGGACTCAACTCTTGCGGTCCTTGTCCATGCGCAAACTATCGGGCTCTCGGGCCAGAGCCTCGTACCTGCGAGTTCAGCATTCAATGTGGCAAAGCAGTCACTGCAGGGTCGATAGATACAGACGAGTCACGTCGATGAGGTAAGGTGGGGAAAGTACGATCTCGCCACGTCCAGCAGCTGCGGGCTTCTCCTCATGTGCGAAACACAATCACCGCACACATCCCATGACTTCAACATCCGAGCTGCTTTTGGAGCTCGTCGAGCTCTTGACCGAAGACCTGGAGAAATTATTCGAAAGCCGTTCAGAGATCCTCCCTGAGATGCCCGGAGTGCACCTGGCGCATCAGCTCGTCGTCTGCCGAGCCATGGCGCAATCGCCATGCTCGCTGGTAGCCCTCGAGGTCGACCGCCTGGGCAGATGCCCTCGGGAGACTGAGACCCACAGTTGACACCTCGGCCTGAGCAACCTCGCTCGCAGGTTCTGAAGAAAGCCGAGTTGCAGCCATCCCGCACGAATTCAGCCAAATGCGCAGCGCAACTCCATGACTTGAGGCATTTGTGCACAGCAGGGGTGCTGGAAGTTGAACCATGTTTGGATGCTTCCAGAGTTTGGGTGCATTTTGACTTGCAAGGGACTCGCGGCCAGAAAGATCTGCATATAGATGTTTACGATGAAATACAGGGCACATGCAACTGTGACTACCTGCTGAGTCTTGGCTGAGATTGAAATGCGCGGAAGGGTTCTGGAGGGGCTGAATGGGAGGTCTCTCCGATATGAATGTCCACCATCTCCAGTTGTTAATCTCCAAGCTGAACCTGGCGAGCTGCAGATGCCTGCAAACGGTCAAGTCCAGGTCGTGCCCCGCTTCAGGAGTTGCCTTCTTGCAGGGCTTCAGCTTCGGCAGCAGCGGCTTCGGCTGCCGCGGCTTCGGCTTCGAGCCTCGCCTGCAGCACCCAAAGCCGAGAATTGCACAATCAGGCATGACAGCAGTTTCCTACAAGTACGGCAGAATGTCCCTCGCTCCTTGCTCCTTGCAGTGCCTAGGCAAAAGACAGCATTCGTCGTTAAACTCCTGGAGCGAAGGGTTCTAGATGTCATTACCCTGCCGAGCCAGGCGAAGCCGCAAGCAGTGCAGCTTTTCGGGTCCGCCATGGTCCACGCCTCCTCTTCTTGCCGGAGTCTTTCTGCCTTAAATTTGTGGACTCAAGGAAGTCTGATGGATGCTGTGACGGGATGCCCCGAAGGTCTCTCAACATCTTCACTCAGGCCCGCGGCCTCTTCCTCCACGCGTTTTTCGTGGAGTGCCTTGGCTTCCTCCTTCTCCTCTGGTGTCACCTGCAGTCTGCGCAAAGACATCGCAAGGAAGCGCTGAAGATCGACTTACGAACTGCGACGTGCCCAGCCCAGCGAATCGAAAATATCCTCAGCTCGCTGCTTCCTCACCATTCAATGTCTGGAGTTGCCCTTGATAGATGAGGATCTCCAGGCGGATGTTTACGCCATCCTGAAGCTGGAGGCTATGAGCAGAACCTGAGGCAACTCTGCCCTTCCGTTTTTCGTTTCTTTCATCGGCCGTGCGGGAACACTTGAACTAGTTTTGAAATTCCGAGGGGAGGGCATATGTATGACGGCAGCCGCCTTCATTCTCAATTCCTTGCGACCCTTCGCACAAATACTGCAAAACATGATTAACGATGCAAGTTTCTGTCTGAACCCGAAACTGAATATGGGCCCGAGTATGAACTCCCAAAACACCCTTCACTGTAGTCTCAGATCAAAGCCCCAGCAATACGTGTGAATGAACGTGAGCCTTGATTGATCCTTATTTCTAAACAACAGTATCCCTATGACTAAACCCTGCATTGGCCCCAATGGTGACAGTAGTACCGCGTGTCACGTTCACCCGAAAAAAGATGCCTTACTAATCAACCTGTTAGTCCGTTTGGATTCAAATGCTATGCCGACGACTAACCCCATAATACATCCCCAAAATTGATACAGAAGGGGCTGTCATGGGGCCTGGGTTTTTGCACACCCAGTGTTTTGCACTTTTTGCACCATTTGTTCGGTACTTGTCGTTCAGGGTTGCTTTGTATGCTTCGGAAGGCCCTCTGATACCCATATATCCCTACGCTAACCCCAACTTCGGTCCCCCCCCGTTTTACGTTATTGCTTGGGGGAGCACCAAGGAGCAAGTAATGTAAAACAGACCCGGACTAGGTGGGCAGAATGGACATCGTCGCACCCGAATGCATTTGAAGACAGCTCTTCGCATGGGAGGGCAGCCCCGCACTCGGACACAGCAGACTGACTTTTGCCCCTGTTTGGAAGCCGTTTAAGGGCCTCATTTTTGAAGAGCCAGTGCCCCAGAATCTAAACAACTCCCCGGTTGGCAGCAGTGTAACAGTTTCCTTTCCCGGCCATAACCCTCCACATGAGTCACACTCCTGATCGGAATCGAAAGTCTCAGGTAGAATAGCTCAAAACAACAAGGCGATTCTGGCACTAGTCCCACTGTCACCGGAGTATGCGACGGAGGTATAAGGTATGACGACCCCACCCTCCGTTTTACATTACACCTTCACTACCATAGCCCTCAATAAGAGTTACCCACTTTATCGGAATTTTTGTAATGTCTAGCTCAAGACAGATACTAGGAATACTCGCGATTTCCCAAGAGTATGCGATGGAGGTGTCAATGTAAACCGGCCACCCCTCCGTTAAACATTACCCCGCGCCTCATGCCTGGCCCAATTAGACCCGTGGTAGGAAGCGAACATACCTACGCAGAAAAAATGTGTGTGTGTGTGTGTGTGTGTGTGAACCTCCCTAGCACATGGGAGCAGAGGGTCACTCCTTCTGTTTTTCAAATGTGGACATTTGCAGGGGGCCATTCAGCCTTGCTATCAGGGAATGGCCAACGAAGAGCCTGATAGCAAGGTGCTGCAACGTACCTGCAAGGGGACGGAAACCATATCCCCGATGTGCCAGGGACAGAACCCAATCCCTACTACTTGGCATTTTGAACGTTTTACGCCCTGCCCGGACATCGCACTTCGACCGCGGCAGCGGCAGCCATTCTCTATGTCTGGCTCCGGGGACAGAAACCTATCCCACATTATAATGCCAGGGACAGGACCCATTATCCCTACTACGTGGCATTTGACGACAATAGAGGACAGGAACCTCATCCTCACGACGCGACTTGACGACGACAACGTGCCTCTCTCTCGCCTCTCTCTCTTCCCCTTCCTGCACTCCAATTCTCGGCCGAATCAGTCAGTGTGACTATCGTGGGTCATGAGACTCCTGAGCAGCGGCTTTCCGTCATGGCGCCGTGGTGTTCCTCCGAAAGGGAAACCGGTGATAAACCGGATGTTCAGCCTTCGTTCAGACCGTTCAGATCTCCCGATGCTTCTTATGATTACTTTCTCTCTCTGATGCTCGCATGTGAGTCTGACATGAGCGCAGGTGCAGTAACTGGCGTCTAGTGCAGTAACTGGCCGCTAATGCACAGGACTACCTCGCTAGTCTGTCCTCTATTCGACCGCTTCTTCATTCCTCAGGGACTGCAAGGCATGTGCTTCTGACATGAGTGCAGGTGCAGTAACCGTCGTCTAATGCAAGTGGTTGCAGCTTCCTCCGGGAAGTAATCGGCCTCTCTTTCTCGTCTCTTTCTTTCTGAACTTCTCTCAATACACGCCCCTGACGGGGCTGTGTGTGTGTGAACCTCCCTAGCACATGGGAGCAGAGGGTCACTCCTTCTGTTTTTCAAATGTGGACTTTTGCAGGGGGCCATTCAGCCTTGCTATCAGGGAATGGCCAACGAAGAGCCTGATAGCAAGGTGCTGCAACGTACCTGCAAGGGGACGGAAACCATATCCCCGATGTGCCAGGGACAGAACCCAATCCCTACTACTTGGCATTTTGAACGTTTTACGCCCTGCCCGGACATCGCACTTCGACCGCGGCAGCGGCAGCCATTCTCTATGTCTGGCTCCGGGGACAGAAACCTATCCCACATTATAATGCCAGGGACAGGACCCATTATCCCTACTACGTGGCATTTGACGACAATAGAGGACAGGAGCCTCATCCTCACGACGCGACTTGACGACGACAACGTGCCTCTCTCTCGCCTCTCTCTCTTCCCCTTCCTGCACTCCTATTCTCGGCCGAATCAGTCAGTGTGTGTGTGTTCTGTCGCGACAAATGTGTGTGATCTGTCGCGTAGCAGAAACCTAGAAGAGCAAAGATACAATCGCGAGGCAATGCGCGAAAAGCGAAACATCAACGGCATGTCGGAACAAAGCCCTAACCAAATACCAAGGTTTGGGTGGTTTGCGCACAGATTCTGGCGTCCTGACTCCAACATAACACAGATACTCCGGCCGGGATACCAATATCGACCTGAAGGTTAATTCGATAATATACATCAGCCTGATTGCCCCCCCGACAGTACGGATATTGCAGTCCCCGTGACGACCCCAGTATTGGATCTGAGTCCAAAATGTACCTTACTCGCAGACGTAAGATCGATCTTAAGATCACCTATAAGCTGTTCCCATTGGTAACTTTCGTACTGTACCGAATACTTCCCTCAACAGCAACCCGAATATTGGCATTAGCATTAGGACAAACCCAGACCATTGCTTCACCAACAGGTTAGTTAATCCAGATGTAGCTGTGGTCTTTTTAACATGAGCATTCTAGACCCCGATTTTTAAAGTCATGGCATCCTCAATACGAGTTCCTGTTATATTCATACAAGTCAGCCAAGTACAGTACTGCCCAAACATTTACTTCAACAGTAGACGTCATATTCATGTCAGGCTGATATTGAATAAGCCCACCGAAGCCCCAACAGCTGATGGCAAATGGATGTTGTGATATCACCGTAACAAACCTTGTGCTAAGACTGCGCAAGACATAAGACACTGTATGCCATAGTCTTTGGTGACCATGCATCTTGCGAGGCTTGGCACAATGGTTTTGGTCTGAGCGAGCGGGGAACCCGCTCCGCAAATGAACCTGCTCCAAACGTGGCTCCCTTGCCCAAGAAGGTCTTGCCTTGCAGCTGGATTGGCAGTGAGCCCTTGGCTCCCTTGTCCAAGAAGGCTTTGCCTTGCTGCTGGAGTGGCACTTGGCCCTGGGCTCCCTTGCGTTGCTGAGGGACTGGCGCTTGGCCCTTGGCTCCCAAGCCGCTATTTTGTTTTGCCATCTTCGACCTGCTGTTGCAACATTGCAGTATAATCATGCACATGGCTCGTTATGTTGAACCCGTGGCTCAGGCGCATTGGGCACTGCGGCCAATGGAACCCCATCAGGAGTCCGAGTGTTGTCATCAACAGCAGGGCGTGATTCCTCAGGCACTGATTCCAAACGCACGCCTGTCAGTTTTCCCAGTGGCTGTTGCCGCCACTTTGCCACTGCACATTGGAAGCCATTGTGTGGTTCTTCGCACTGCTGCGGACTTGCATGGGGGCAGCTCCCCGGCGGTGGCCCTCAGCTTAGCTGCGTGGAGCCATTGGCTACAAAAGATGTGGTAGCGCTTCAGGGTGGAGGCCCGCGTCTTGCCCGGTAGCATAGCGGCCCGGACCGGGTCCAGGCTTTGGTGTCGCGCGCCCAGGCCAGCTTTCGATTGCGCTCCCAAAAGGGAGGCCCTGCGGCTTCTGTTCGGGAGCTAGCTCCCGCGCCATCCGGAGGCGTCGGCGCCTCTGTAGCGTCGCTGTCCGACATGGCTGCGCACCAAACCCTTCTATCCCCCACTCGAAAATAGCCCCCCCCACTGCGGGGTCTTTCAGCACAATGGCCACGGAGTAGCTCAAGTTCCACTGGCTGTGCAGACACTCTAGCGAAACAGCCGACAGTCGTCCAAATTAGCTTTCGAGGAAAACCCCTTCGAAGTTTTCTGGCGAAACACCTTCGATGTTTTCACAAAGGATACCAGCGCTAGCATACACTGTCGTCGTCCCTCGGCACGAGTGCGATAGAGCCCATGTGAAGGTTTCATGCTTGCTATTCCCGCAGTGTTTGAAGCTTCAGCTTGTAATCTTCGTAAATCCTCCCGCGTCACCGCCATGATGCGCCAGTGCCCAGTCTCTGGCATGGTCACGTTCGAGAACGGAGAGGTCGTTCTCCGCTTAGCCCCATCGGGCCAAGCAGCTACGACGAACACAACACCATCGGCAAGCACATCACCGACTACCTCCGCACCGCCGTGGGGCATTGCGCGGGACGACAACGCAATCCTCGTCGCCATCGGTGAGAAGAAGATCCACGTTCACCCGTCGAGACTTCCTATGTCAACGGATAGCCGCCGGGTTATATTGAACAATGTACAACGGGCCTTAAACCTCGATGTGGGACTGTTTGGACAATGGAACTTGGATGCCAACACGAAGCTCCTCAAAATGCTTGCGAAGGCCAAGAGACTTCCGAAAACATCGAACGACGCGAAGAATCTCGCTCTCGAGGACAAGAAGAATGACAACATCGAGCAGCTCGCCGTTGAGGACACGAAGCACGACACGAAGGACACCACGAAGGACGAGAGTGACCATGGCCCCAGCGAGGACATGGACGTGAATGACGGGAAGGAGCGCGAGGACACAGAAAAGGTAGATGACTCCAGCGACAGTTCCTCGGATACGTCTTCGTCCAGCCTTTCGGAAGGAGGTATGAAGCAGTGCACTAGCTTCTATACCCCACCACCATCCCCAGAACTCCTCCAGGACGATAGTAGTAGTAAGTAGTTGGCTGGCGAGCTAGCCGAGCAACAACCAAACGAGACAAACCACACTCAGCTAGCTCGGACGCACTTTTGTCGAAAGTGGCAACTATCCCGGTTGCCTGGAGATGTTCGATAGCCTTCGGCTATCTATCCCCAGGGTGGGCAGGGTGGGTACTTCAATTTTACCACCCCTGAAGAGGGGAACTTTATCCAGAATGGTGACGGTTGTATACATTTGTAGCCATTCCAAGTCACTGCTATCCTGTCTCCGCATGTCAGAAGCAACTCTCCTGCAGTCGACAGTAGCGAACGAAACTCTGTTTCTAGTGAAGCTACCTTCGATAGCTTCGAATAGGAATAGGTAAGCTAGCACACATAGTCGTAACTCGTTCCTCGTCACGAGGTACATCCCCAGAACTCCTCCAGGACGATTGTCGTAGTAAGTAGTTAGCTTGCGAGCTAGCCGAGCGACAACCAAACGAGACAAACACACTCAGCTAGCACGGACGCACTTTTGTCGGAAGTGGCAACTATCCCGGTTGCCTGGAGATGTTCGTTAGCCTTCGGCTATCTATCCCCAGGGATCTAGCTTTCGGGCCTCACCCTATCCGGGGTCACTCGCTTTCGCGTGCCTAGCTCCTTATAGAAGCTATCTGCATGCGCGAGTAGCCGGCCCAAAACTCGCCACTGGAAGTCCTCCCCCTTCAGATCTATCCTCTGGTCGTGTTCGAACTCCTTAAACTCCTCATTGGTGAGGTCATCCGCTAGCTGGTTGATGTCTCTAGGTATCCGCCCGGAACGACCGTTGGCTGGACGGACGGACTATCTGGCTGCTCTCCCGGGACTAGCCGGAATCACGGTGGTAGCCGGGGACCGAGGACTCGCCGTTCTCGAAGATGTCGAGGAGTGCGAGGATAGGCGGCCATTCTCGCTTGGCTATGTAGCCAAGTACCCCTTCTCTCCCCTCTACTTCAAATCTACCCGCCCTGAAGAGGGGAACTTTATCCAGAATGATGACGGTTGTATACATTTGTAGCCATTCCAAGTCACTGCTATCCTGTCTCCGCATGTCAGAGGCAACTCTCCTGCAGTCGACAGTAGCGAACGAAACTCCGTTTCTAGCGAAGCTACCTTCGATAGCTTCGAATAGGAATAGGTAAGCTAGCACACATAGTCGTAACTCGTTCCTCGTCACGTGGTACGATCGTTTTGAACACCTACACGCACACTTGGACAAGTGATTGGGCTGATGCTTGGACTAGATCGCTTTACGTACTTGAATCAAGTGGCGACAATGCCAAGAAACATCATATTGCTTACAAGATGCTGCTGTCTCTCAAGAAAGCCAAGCTGGAGTGGGATCGTAGCTAGTCGGTCTCTGTGCTGGCGCGGCTTCTTTCACTTTGTCTCCCGCCCCGTGTCTGGCTGGAGGCTAGACGTGCTACACTGGCGCACGAGATGCTACAATGCTTCTTCGCAGAAAAAGGGGCTCTTGCAGATCGGTACATGCTCTTGCTCTTGTCTGTTCCAACTTGTGATTGCATCATAAGATTATGTAATGTTCTGAGGAACCAAGCAACTAAAAGGCATAAAACCTCATTCTTATGCATTCTGCACTGTCTTGTAAGTATGCATACTTACAAAGCTGAATAGAATGCGCCATCATAACCATAACATATCAGTATCATCGCGACCAAACCTTTGCTACCACCGCTGCGATGTAACAGCATCGGCTATGTACATTGTGAAGATACTACTGCTCGAGGGAAACGATATCAAGTCATAGTTTCGTAAAGTTTCGTAGTCACGATGGCATCCCTCTTCGACACTGTCCTGGCACGTGTTGGCGGGAAGGAGTGCAATAACGACTCATTGGCAGTGCCACAGTGTGGCATGGTGAAGGCCGAAGATCTTCAGGAGCCGATCACATTGCACCAGTTCCTTCAGGAGGCATGCCGCCGCCCAAATGAAGCCAAGGTCACCACGCTTCTGTTCGACGTGCACACCAATGTCCCCGAGTTCAGTGGCTTCGCACGCATTGGCGAGCGGCGAGCAAGTGCGGCGCTCTGAACTCGATCAACTTCCACTTCCGTTACAAGTCTCTCAAGCCCTTCCCAAAGGAGCTAAGGTGGGGTGATACTGGATAACCACCGGGACGTATCCATGAACGTTGTCAAGATTTTCCACTTCTCAGAGAAGATCGCCATTAACCATGCGCTGAAGCTTTGTTCCGGTGATGCTTTCATTCCATCAGTATACCGACCTGGCCCCTGGGGTGTCAAGAAGACTGTTCAATTCCTTCTCCAATGTCTGCCAGGGTATCGCATTCTATGGAACAGCGTCGGCGAGAAACCCACCAACCTACGAAAGGCTCAATCCTCTCAATGGGCGCCCGAAGATGAAGCTCTACGACATGGGATTGATTATATCAATGCCAATGCACCAGAGGGCGATGCACTCAATGAACAGACCTTTTGGATTCTCTGTAGCATCCGGGAAGGCTCTGACACTCTGATAGCAGGATGGCCGGAGGCCAAAGTCAGAGACATGTGCAGGAACAAAGTCTCGGGGAATGGCCGGTGCTCAGCCAAACTACGATTACCCTTTGCACACGTACAGCTTGAAGGGCTTCCTGTCTGAGTTTCTGTTGCCACTCCTATACCCCCTACTTGTCTTGCACGGGGTGATGATGATAGGGTGGCCGGGCGTGGGTAAGACACGGTCGCTGGTTGTCATGACGCTTGCGATCGCTCGGCATCACATCAACAAGTTGGGTGTGGAGGAAAAACCATCATGGAGACGAGCGAAGTCACTGGATAACTTTAGACACCGGGCGCCGCAGATCCACGACGGTGTCTTCCTTGATGATCCGAGCCGTGACAGGCTTGATATGACCGATCTCAAATCGTTCATGACGACTGAGGAAGATCAAACATGTTCCGGGCGGTACGACGATGTCAAGCTGAGCCGAGGCCAAGTTCCCGCTTATGCTGGCAATCATCTCACTTTCGAGGACGAGCCTGGGCCCGACGACCGTACCACTATCACTTCGGAAGAGATCCTGAAGATGTTGGGGAAAACGTTCCCGGTCGAGAAAGATGCCGACGTGATGGCTGTCCTCAAGAGATCTATCGCTTCCGTGTCCGGGAAGAGTGCAGTATATTTGCACCTTCCATCCCAGCACAGCGATGGCATAGTGCATCGCATCGTCGCGGAGGATGTGCATTTGGACGTGTTGGCCCCCACGATAAGTACCTTCTATCCGAGTACAAGACTGGAAACATCAAGATCAAAGGCAGCGACTTCGAGGACTCAATTGCCCGCGAGCAGAACATGATACATAACTCCTTCATGAATATGTCCGAGATTCTGGGCCCAAGGCGTACATCGAGCACTGCGCGAAGGAGGGGCAGCAGCGTATCAGTCCAATCCCGACACCAGCCAGGCGTGTGCGACACCTACCTAGTTCTCCCTCCTCCCCGGAAGCCAATGCCATTCCTCCCACGGTGCCCTTCTCGGTGCAGCTGGCAACACCTGATCAGCCACGCAAGCGGCTGTTGAACTCTAGCGTCTTCCGCTACCCGTCTCCTACCCGACGAACGAGGCAAGACTATGCCGCCGCCCCGCTCGGACACACAAGCAGACAGCGCACTTGAGACATCGACAACATCAGCGGCATCACCGTCTGGTCTTCTTGCAGTTGCGCCTTCTTCCCTTCCTGAAGATTATGTGTGCAACGATAACCAGGATGCAGGTGAAAATGCAATGGCCGCATCAGGCGATGAGATGGACGTGGCAGAGGACTTCCAGGAGGACGAAGAAGCTGCCCGACACCTTGGTCTCTCTGAGTAGCTACCTGGACATGCTTTTGGCTATATTTTATCGTCAGGCTCCGAAGAAAAATCGTCGGGGCTGGCAAAAAAATCGTCGGGACATCAAAGCAACCCAAAATATAGTCGGGAATGCATTTCTGGCCAAAATATCGTCGGGACTCCGGAAATATCGTCGGGACTTCGGAAATATCGTCGGGACTTCGGAAATTTCGTCGGGATCCTGGAAAATATCGTCGGGATCCTCGGGACGTGCAAAATATATAGTCGCGACCTTGACAAAAATAGTCCGAGCCCCGGAAAACTCGTCGCCCCACCGAGAGCCAAGCGAGCCCCACCGAGAGCCGTAGGAAGCCCCACCGAGAGCCGTAGGAAACCCCACCGAGAGCCGTAGGAAGCCCCACCGAGAGCCAAGCAAGCCCCACCGTGAAGCCCCACCGAGAGCCGTTGGTTGGCCGATTGTGCACCTTGCTTGTTTCACCCTTGTTTCGCCCTTGTTGCTTGCTTGGCTTGGTCGGTTGGTCGATTTGCAGGTAAAAAATGGTTGCTCGCTTGACTTGGTTGGTGGGCCGGTTGGGCACCTTGCTTGTTTCTCCTTGGTTGTTTGCTTGGATTGCATGGTGCTGTCACTTGGGTACCTTGGTCGTTTGACCCTTCAGCATGGTTGCTTGCTGCAGCGATTTCAATCACTCAAGGGATCCCTGAATAGATTGACCTGCCGGCATGCGAAGAGGATTTCTGCTCGGTCCGAGTGCCGGCGGATCTGCAGGCGGTCGATCGTCCTCCGACAATGGTCCGAGTGGGCTTCGCTCGAGCTCCGACAGTGGGCCAAACGCCGAATCGTCCGCAGGCGGTCGAACATCCTCGAGGATCCCTCGTGGGGATCGCTCGAGTGGATCGTCTCAGGTCGGCCGGCCCAGCAAACCGGAAGGCATATCAGAGGAGTTCAAGGGGGTGAGGGATCAAAAAAAAATTAAATAAGGATCAAAAAAAATTAAATGGAAAGATCAAAAAAAATAAAATAAGGATCAAAAAAAATTAAATCACGCAAAATACAGCAATTCCTGGGGCAGGGGCATCAAAAAAAAATAAAATAAGGATCAAAAAAATAAATCACTTAAAATACAGCAATTCCTGAATTTTTCCAATGGAAAACACTGTTTTCCTACGGATTTTCTTGTGTTTCCTTAGGATCTGTCTGGTTTTTGCTCTGGAAAACACGATATTCCTGCGGATCCCGTTGTATTTCCCTAAGTTTCCTTGATTTTTCGTAGGAAAAACCTATTTCCTATTACCTATGGCGTTCGTGTCATTTCTTCAGGTTTTCAGAAGGACAACATATGGTTGTTCCTCGGGAAAATCAAATTTTCCTTCCAATTTCACATTTAGGACGGATTTCCTGTTGTAGCTGTTGCTGGTATTCCGCTTCATCATCTATCTTAAACACGCCCCTCATTTGGCGATTCTGGTTCAGCATGTATCTACAAGGGCGGAGACGCCCTCATTTGCTGGGGTTCAAAAAAAGGCATATGCTTCAAAGCAACCCTGCACGGCTTAAAACAGCGGGGGGGTTGGGGGGGGCGCAGCCCCCCCCATTTGCAGAGACAACGTTCACATGATGGGCTTCGAAAACACTCTTTGAATCAAGCTTGCACGTCTCGAAAAGCGCGGCGGCGGGTGTTTTGTTCTTCCGTGCCTGTTCGTGTCTCTTCTTCCGTTAGCATTCTAACCCAATATATATAACATAGTAAACCAGAAGAACGACATAAGATGGTTCGACAACACAAAAATGGTGTGACATTTTCTGACATAACAGAACCTTGCTTCTTATAGCATATAATAGCATACTAAAAATACAACAATACAATATAACAGAAGATGACATAGAACAAAACAACATTTTAGTTTATAGTGTAGTACATTGTAACATAGTACAATACAGTGTGTATATTTACAACATAATATGTAGTATATTTTATAACATTAGGTTACATTATGTTATATTATGTTACGGTACATTACGATATTATGGTAAATTCGATTGGACTATGTAGTATCCTGTTGCTTGTATCTTTGTTTCTGCGATTATTTCATATTCTTTCTCTTTCGTCTTCTCCAACTCTGCTTTTTTATTCTGGACTTCTTTCTGTCTTTTGCTCGTTCATTTCTTTTCTTTCTTTCTGTTGTTCTTTCTTTGTTCATCTCATACTCCCTTCCTTTCTTTCTTGCTTTCTTTCTGGTTTGATTTATTTCGTTCTTTCTTTGGTTCGTTCTTTCTTTCGTTCTTGCGTTCGTTCTTTCTTTCGTTTTCGCTTTCGTTCTTTCGTTCTCTCTCTCGTTCTATCTTTCTTTCTTTCTGTTGTCCTTTCTTTCGTCCTCTTTAGATACAGCAATTTGCCTACGTTTTCCTTGATTTTTCGTAGGCAAAACCCTATTTTCCTGTTACCTATGGCGTTCGTGTCATTTCTTCAGGTTTTCAGAAGGACAACATATGGTTGTTCCTCGGGAAAATCAAGTTTTCCTTCCAATTTCACATTTAGGACGGATTTCCTGTTGTAGCTGTTGCTGGTATTCCGCTTCATCATCTATCTTAAACACGCCCCTCATTTGGCGATTCTGGTTCAGCATGTATCTACAAGGGCGGAGACGCCCTCATTTGCTGGGGTTCAAAAAAAGGCATATGCTTCAAAGCAACCCTGCACGGCTTAAAACAGCGGGGGGGTTGGGGGGGGCGCAGCCCCCCCCATTTGCAGAGACAACGTTCACATGATGGGCTTCGAAAACACTCTTTGAATCAAGCTTGCACGTCTCGAAAAGCGCGGCGGCGGGTGTTTTGTTCTTCCGCGCCTGTTCGTGTCTCTTCTTCCGTTAGCATTCTAACCTAATATACATAACATAGTAAACCAGAAGAACGACATAAGATGGTTCGACAACACAAAAAATGGTGTGACATTTTCTGACATAACAGAACCTTGCTTCTTATAGCATATAACAGCATACTAAAAATACAACAATGCAATATAACAGAAGATGACATAGAACAAAACAACATCTTAGTTTATAGTGTAGTACATTGTAACATAGTACAATACAGTGTGTATATTTACAACATAATATGTAGTATATTTTATAACATTAGGTTACATTATGACATATTATGTTACGGTACATTACGATATTATGGTAAATTCGATTGGACTATGTAGTATCCTGTTGCTTGTATCTTTGTTTCTGTGATTCTTTCATATTCTTTCTCTTTCGTCTTTTCCAACTTTGCTTTTTTAGTATGGACTTCTTTCTGTCTTTCGCTCGTTCATTTCTTTTCTTTCTTTCTGTTGTTCTTTCTTTGTTCATCTCATACTCCCTTCCTTTCTTTCTTGCTTTCTTTCTGGTTTGATTTATTTCGTTCTTTCTTTGGTTCGTTCTTTCTTTCGTTATTGCTTTCGTTCTTTCTTTCGTTTTTGCTTTCGTTCTTTCGTTCTCTCTCTCGTTCTTTCTTGCATGGCTTTCTTTCTTTCTTTCGTTTGTTGTTTCTTTATTTCTTTATTTCGTTCTTTCTTTCGTTCTGTCTTTCTTCCTTCCTTTCTTTCTTTCTTTAGTTCGTTCTTTCTTTCTTTCTTTCCTTCTCTCTCTCTCTGTCTTTCTTTCCTTCCTTTTTCCCCTTCCTTTCGCGGATACCCGTTTAATTTTTTTTGATCCTTATTTAATTTTTTTTTGATCCTTATTTAATTTTTTTTTAACCCCTATCCCAGTTCAAGGAGCGAGCCAAGCAGCATCTACGCAAGCACTCGGCCTGGATATGTTCGTTTCGGGTTCTGGCGAGATCTTCTCTCAAGAGGACTTGAAGCAGCTTCTTGGAATCAAGTACGGGAAGTGATTGAATGCTTGAGGGAACGGAAAACGCGACCGCTTGGGTGCAAGCATGCTTGTCTAAAGACTGATTTCGCGCTTGCTTGCCCGAAGGCACTCATCCCGTTCGAATGCTCAAAGCTGCATTGTCGTAATCGATCTAGAGTCTAGAGTCTGCCTCGGCAGCCTAGATCAAAGAACGCTTTCCTCAAAAACATACTTCATCCGATAACTAAACCCTTAAAGACCTTGACGCCCTACAACCCAAAACCTGTAATTCTTCCAAGCCACAGCCATTGTTGCCATCGAGAACTTCGGCCCTGAGAACCTTTTCCAGGACTGCATTCCGATTCTCGCAATATGTGTCTTGAATCTCTTGCTGTCTCGCAGGACCTTTGGATGATTGGTGATTGGACTTTGAGGACTGCATTCCGGTTCACGTTCGTCTTGAAAAGTTTGCTGCCTCGCAGGACCTTTGGATGATTGGTGGCTGGACTCCTGAGGACTGCATTCCGGTTCACGTTCGTCTTGAAAAGTTTGCTGCCTCGCAGGACCTTTGGATGATTGGTGGCTGGACTCCTGAGGACTGCATGAAGGTTCAGGTTAGTCTTAAACTTATGCAGTGTCGCAGGACCTTTGTTTGATCGAAGCAATCGTCTTGGAAGACATCCAATTGGAAGGACCGATGCTTGCTTTTTCGTGCTGTGCTCGATCGGAGAATGGAGCATGCATGGCATGACACCTCATGATGTCCTTTGCAGTGCTATGATCAAGCGATGGGCCACGTGCAGTGTATAGAAGCTACATGCGAAGCAAGGTGATATAACCCTTGGCACATCCAGGTATACTTAAGGCTACTTAAGGCTCCATAGGCCATAGCCTGATCGCCGCCATGCAGTCCCAGCCCCTGCCGATTCAGTCACGCCGCGAACGTCGCGGCCCGTTCGTGGCGGCTGTGCAGCCGGCTGTGCAGCCGGCCTCGGGCGTGTCCTGTTGCATCTTTGGTATTAAAGGTTCTAGGGCTGTATACATAGGATTTTGGGTTGAATCCTAAACCCGAAACCCTAAACTCTCAGGGCATCCCGCCTGAGATCGGGCAGTTGCAGCCGCGGACGCCGCAGACCCCGCCGGGCATCCCGCCCGTCACGACGCCGCCCTGGCTGCAGCTGGTGGGGCCGCGGACGCCCCCGCCGGGCGTTCATCTGACGGGAAGATGGGTGTCGCTCGGCTGACGGTTTAGGATTTAGGGTCGACGGTTTAGGATTTAGGGTTTAGGGTTTATATAGGGCACACACTAACCCCGAGGTTCGAGACCTCTTCCGGGAGATATGATGGGCGGGGACGTTTCAAAGAAACGTCCCCGCCCTGGCTGCGCCATTCGACACCCAACTGGTTTGGCCCTCTGCGAACACCACCGTCGCGGCTCTACTTTATTTTAGGTTTAGGGTTTAGGGGTTTGGGCTTTAAGGGGTTTAGGGCTTCGGGAAAAACAACAAAAAACACACAACCCTAACCCTAAACCCTAAGCCCTAAACCCTCAAACTAAACCCAAGCTAAACACAACGCAACCCAGGGTGCCGACGCTGATCGGCTCGTCCCCGGAGATGCCGATGGCGGGCTCGCCAACGGAATCACAGATCCTTGCCTATTTTAACCCAAAACCCCAAACCCTAAACCGCAAACCCTAAACTCTAAACCTTAAACCCAAAACCCTAAACTCTAATCTGTAAACCTTAAACCCTCCAAACCCCCTTCCCAGGCCGCCACCAGCAAAACGTCGAGTGCTGATGTGCTGTGCTGTGAGCGATTCGGAAAGTGAGCCTCCGGATTGGAGCCCGTGAGCTCACCTATATAGCTCTGGGATGCTCTGGGTAGGGCGAGGGTTTTTTTAAAAAATAGTAAATAAGATCCTGTTAAGCCCAACGAGGGAAAACATAAAATGCCCCAAAGCCCTACCTAGGTTTTTTAGAGGCTGCACGCATGGCCCGGGATTAAAAAGTGGCTGTTGAAGCGGTGCTTTCCCGGCTGTCGGCTTCAAACCCCGGTGTCCTTTTCATGCAGGACCGCTTCCAGTACGTGGCTGATAGCCACGCCCTTAAGCCGGGGGCCCGGCTGTCGGCTTGAGACCCCGGTGTGTGGTGGTGGGGTGGATGGTGGTTGGGTGGGGGGGAGGGGCGGTGGGTGAAGGAGGGGGGGGCTGGATTGGCAGGGCGCGGGGGCAAGGGGGGCAGGGAGCAGCGGGGGGGGGGCGCAGGTAGTAGGGGGGGGGGTGGGGGGGTGATCCGTGGGCCCCATCCACAGAACCCCAGGATTTCAATTAATTGAAATAATTGAAATAATTGAAATGGCGCCGATTTCAATTATTTCAATTATTTAAATCAACCGGGCCCTTTGGCGGATTTAAATTAAAACAATTGATTGAAATCGGCCGGATTTCAGTTACTTCAGTTATTTTAATTGTTTCAATTATTTAAAAAATTCAAATCGGTAGGATTCGTGGCTTGGCCCAGAACAACCATCGACTTCAATTATTTCAATTATTTAAATCCGCCGGGCTCTTTTGCGGATTTAAAAAAATGAAGTAATTGAAGTCCGAGGGTTCGACGGGCCCAAGTCACCAAATCCAGTGATTTGAAGTATTTAAACAACTGAAATAATTGAAATAATTGAAATAATTGAAATGGGGCCGATTTCAATTATTTCAATTATTTAAATCCACCGGGCCCTTTGGCGGATTTAAATAACTAAAATAATTGAAATCGGCCGGGTTTCAATTGTTTCAATTATTTCAATTATTTAATTTTTAATTCAAATGGGTGGGATTCGTGGCTTGGCCCAGAACAACCATCGGTTTCAATTATTTCAATTATTTAAATCCGCTGGGCTCTTTTGCGGACTTAAATAATTGAAATAATTGAAATCCGAGGGTTCGATGGGACCAAGTCACCACATCCAGTGATTTGAATTATTTAAATAATTGAAATAATTGAAATGATTGAAATAATTGAAATCCGGCCGATTTCAAATATTTCAATTATTTAAATACACCGGGCCCTTTGGCGGATTTAAATAACTAAAATAATTGAAATCGGCCGGATTTCAATTATTTCAATTATTTAAATTATTTAAATAATTCAAATCGGTGGGATTCGTGGCTTGGCCCAGAACAACCATCGATTTCAATTATTTCAATTATTTAAATCCGCCGGGCTGTTTTGCGGATTTAAATAATTGAAATAATTGAAATCAGAGGGTTCGATGGGCCCAAGTCACCAAATCCAGTGATTTGAATTATTTAAATAATTGAAATAATTGAAACAATTGAAATCCGGCCGATTTCAATTATTTCAATTATCTAAATAATTCAAATCGGTGGGATTCATGGCTTGGCTCAGAACAAGCATCGATTTCAATTATTTCAATTATTTAAATCCGCCGGGCTCTCTTGCGGATTTAAATAATTGAAATAATTGAAACCAACTCTGCTGATTTAAATTATTTCAATTATTTCAATTATTTAAAATAATAGTTACAACCATCGGTTTCAATTATTTCAATTATTTAAATCCGCTGGGCTCTTTTGCGGACTTAAATAATAGAAATAATTGAAATCCGAGGGTTCGATGGGCCCAAGTCACCAAATCCAGTGATTTGAATTATTTAAATAATTGAAATAATTGAAATGATTGAAATAATTGAAATCCGGCCGATTTCAAATATTTCAATTATTTAAATACACCGGGCCCTTTGGCGGATTTAAATAACTAAAATAATTGAAATCGGCCGGATTTCAATTATTTCAATTATTTAATTAATTCAAATCGGTGGGATTCGTGGCTTGGCCCAGAACAACCATCGATTTCAATTATTTCAATTATTTAAATCCGCTGGGCTCTTTTGCGCGATGGGCCCAAGTCACCAAATCCAGTGATTTGAATTATTTAAATAATTGAAATAGTTGAAATAATAATTGAAATCGGCCGGATTTCAATTGTTTCAATTATTTAAATAATTCAAATCGGTGGGATTCGTGGCTTGGCCCAGAACAACCATCGATTTCAATTATTTCAATTATTTAAATCCGCCGGGCTGTTTTGCGGATTTAAATAATTGAAATAATTGAAATCAGAGGGTTCGATGGGCCCAAGTCACCAAATCCAGTGGTTTGAACCATTTGAATAATTGAAATAATTGAAATCCGGCCGATTTCAATTATTTCAATTATCTAGTGAGTGAGTGAGTGAGTGAGTAGCGGCACCCGTTACATACGGGGCCATGCCTAAGGCGCTATCCCTCCCGGCATCGCAGGGGCTCCGGAAACGTCATCGCCCCTCCGCTTGGAGTTCAAACTGGCAGGGCGCCCCGGGCTCCGCAAAACGTCATTGCTCGGATGTGATGAACGCACGTATCCAGCGAACTTGTCTGGCCACTCGCGCAAATGGGGGGAGCTTAAAAGACTGAATCACTAAGCGGCCACGGCCCTGCCCTGCAGCAGCAGCAATGCCACACCCGCACAATCGCGTGTCAGGGAAGCACGGTGTGAGCATACGTCGAGGCAGGCATGTAGGCTCAAGACCGCAGCTGTCGGCGTCCTTTAGCCACGACAACGTCAACGTGTGTTCACGGGGAGGAAAAAAGAAAAGGAAGAAAAGGAGGGAGAAAAACAAAAACAGAAAGACATCAGGACACGGAAGAGGACGCAGGTTAAAGACGCAGATGGCCGTTTGATCAGAAATAATGCCCGGTCACTGCACCGGTCTGGTCTTGCTGGCATATGGCATTTGCGGTAGCGCCGCAGCTGCGTTCGGCTGCTCTGGGAGCCACTCCGCGGAGGAAGTCACGTGTCGAAGCCGAGGCGCGTGACTACACAACTAAACCAAAAAGGAACGAGGAAGCCAGTCCAAGGCACACAGCCAAGTCGCCGAGAAAAATAAAAAGTGTAAAGGAGCAAAGCCAAGGAGCATTGCCACGGCACAGCTGCCGCTGGCCAGGTCTGTAGACCTGTAGACATGCTTGCGGTACTGTACGTTCGTTGGACTTCTAGGCAGTACAGTTGCAAGGACGTTCAGTGTAAGCATGCTGTCCAGCGGTATGCTTGCGTGCATTTTACCTCACATTATGCGCAGACAGGCGAAGTCTCCATGGACCGCTCCTTCCCTCAAAAGGAGGCATACTGCACGTGTCATGGTGTCGCTTGCACGATCCTCATCGAACCTCTGGTGGACTGATCTGAGATGACCCAAAAAAGCCGTTGTGAGTCCTCCCAGCGACTGCGACCCTTCTGAGTGGGTTCTTCTCAGCGCCCAACGGCGTGCTCTGCGCAGTGTAATCTCGGCTGGAGGTTGCGTAGCTACTTGGTGTCCTGCACCCTCGCAGGCTCTGGAGGCAATGAGTTCCAGGTGCTGTTGCAGCGCCCGCCCAGGCTCTGCACACGGCCCTCGTCTGGGGCTGGCCGCCATTTTGCAACGAAGTGTGCTTGTGCAATCCGGGCACAGCCGCAACGGGCACAGTGCTGGGGGGAAGTAGGCCGGGTTGGCGCCGCGGTTCCAAGCCGGGCACCTTCCTCTCACATGCAAGGAGGTGAAACATGCCGAGCACACTTCATCAGAGGTTCCTTGACACCAGGGGCAGGGCCTGATGTGGCCGTTTGCTTGGTCTGGGACCATAACACGGCCATTCCCAGCACAGGTCTACAGACTCCGAGTGCTGGCAGCGACATGGGCCAGCTTCAAGGGCCCGCATCACTTCTTCCCAGGACGGGCCGTCGGTGCCCCACTGAAGGCTGCCGTGCTCTGTGGTGGGCACTCCTCGTGACCAGAGGGCCCGCAGTGTCGTTGTTTCACTGGGGCTACGACCTGGCCATGCCACACGGATCCGAGCCACAGCCACTGACGAGGTCGGGGCATGCCATCTGAGCTCGCGCAGGACCCCCGCACCTGGGCCATCCATCCAGTCCGCGAGGGGCGTCCGCGGTCCTGCGGGCCTTGCATGGTGGAGTTCCTCGGCTTCCTCCACCGGCTCAGCAGGTGGAGGCTGTGGGAGTGCTAATTGCATGAGCTCCACGCATGCTTGCGCACGCTTCAGGTATTCTGCCCTTGCCCGGCGGAGACCCAATAGCAACAGGCTGGTTACGCGCGCTGTCCTGTGTTGAGCTGCTGCCCGAGACTGTCTGATGCGTGCCTCTGCATGAGTGCGGTCGGGTTGACTCAGCACGGCAAATTCTTCAGGTTCCGGTGCCTCCAAGGTGCCGGTTCCTCTCAAGGCCAATCCGAGCGATCGCACCATCATGCCTCGGTATCCCATCTCCCATGGCTTCTCAGCATTTGTGCTGTGCGCGCTGCTCCCGTTGACGTCCACATTGAGCTCGGCCTCTCTGTCCGGATGCGCTACCAGCCACCTCCAGGCTGCCAGACGTGGCCAGCGCCGCTCGATTCCAGGAGGTATTGGAACCACATTGTTGAGCTCGTTCCTCCAGCGGAGGCCTGCCTGTCTGAGGCCGTCACCTGGCGCCTTCCGCTTCTAGAATGCTGCGTACATGATCCATGAGGGGTCGCATGGCCTCGCACCTCATAATAACATGCCTGGGGGTGCCGACTCCTTGCCCGCATAGTGGACACATGCGGACTGGTTGATTGTTCTGCTGCGCGTAGTCAATGGCAGTGCTGTTTGCCTGACTGTTCGAATGCAGCATCTCTGTCCATCCCCCGCCGATTGCCCGCAGGCACCGGTGCATGAATCCCGACAGGTCTATCGATTCACCATCGGCAGGCAGACACAGATGTCGCCAGCTTGGATCTGGAGTGATGTTGGTGAACAACCGGGGCTGCAGGCATGGCAGATAAATATCTTCCGACATGCTGGCTAGTTTGCCCTGTACTCGCCGCTGCTTCCACTGCTGCGTCGCGTCCTGGCGTAGGACCGCACGCACGGCCTCTCTGGCTGGGGCGGTTACCAATCTTCCACTGACGCACAGGGAAGCGAAGAGGCCGCCTGATGGGATCAGCACATCAGCCGGTTTTGCCATGCTTCGTGCCCTGTGGCATCCCTTATCTTGGGCCTCATTGCCCTTGACAACAATTGGGTAGGGCCGCGGCGGTTGTGCCTGGTGACTTTTGATGTCCACTCCCACGAGCCCGGCGGACTCGAAGGCAATCTCGCACAGGCTACTAGCCGTGCCCCCCTTCAGGGGTGGGCAGGTGACAGTTCCAACGCTCCGGGTGGCACTCCATGTCTATACGCCAGGAGGGGCGGGCTGCAGCGTCGGTCCACTGTTTCTCAATGTGTTGCCATGTCGTGGCTAGCAGACTCTCCAGGCTGAGGTGTCTTCTCCGTCGCCAATCACCCCTGCGCTCTTTTCAACGACGAGAACAGGGCGCTCCTATCGCAGACTAGTAGATTCCAGTCGTTGATCCGTCGCTGTTGCAGGGCTGTTAGCATACCGAACATCTCAGCAGCATGTATGCCGGCTGCTTCGTAACCGTATCTGCTTGGGAGGCGGCCTCGATGCTGACGTCCTTCCGCCGCAGAGTGTTCCCAGTAGCCTCCCGGGGGCCCAAAGGCGCACGCCTGCGCACTGAAGGTACATGTAGCAGCTGTTTCCCCTCCGTCGCTGTACAGTGCCTGGTCCCCATCCACACCTGAAGGCCGGGTGGATATCAATGCTTCAATTCTTGGAATGGGGGCTGTTGGGTTGCACCAAGTGCCTTCTGGCCAATCTTCCGCCAGGTGCGGTGCTGCTCGCTGTAAAAGTGCTTGTTCCATCTCCCAGTCCGCTCTTGCCTGTCTTAGTGCCTGGCTGCACGCTACCGCACAATCTGCAGGCGTAACTGGGGCCTCCACCTGCAGTGCATCTGCCCACCGCTCAGCTCTGCCCCATTCTGCTTGGGGGGTGCCCTGCCGCACGAAGGTGGCAACTGCCTGTCTAACTGCGTTGGCCAGTGGCCCTGCACGGCAATAGAATGACGCACTTGCCGCGTTTGTTGGGTGGTATGCTGTCGCCATGCTCTGAGGGCGTGTCCCTCTGATGGAGGCTAGGTTGTCTAGGATGCGTCCTACTGTCCGGTCGGGGCCCGTCGTAACGTAGAAGCCGTACTCAGAGAGGAAGTGCATGGCTCGGCCAACAAGTCCAGACAGCAGTGCCCGCGCACCTCCCTGGCTCTGCGCTTCCCGCAAATGGTCTCTGGCCACCTGTGAAACGATTCCATCCGCATTGAAGAGCAGCAGAAGGTCGTTGGCCACCGAAGAGACAGTGCTTTCGACTATGGAAGGGAGCTGGGGGCCACCCACCGAACTCGGGGCCACTAAGCTCACTCTTTCTGCCGTGCATCTGGTGCCTAATTTGCTCAAGATGAGGCGCTGAAAGGCCGCCTCTTCTTCATGGAGGCTTTTGGCCGCCGGGATGCCAATCAATGCCGCATAGGCTATGGTGCCACGGACTTTCAACTGCATAAGCATAGCGATTTCATCCCATGTGCACGCCCGCGCCTGGGCCTCCAACCTCACCTTCTGAATGCGTCCCATCAGCTTGTCCGCGGCCGGTCCGTGACGGTTGGCGTGTGAGATGGTCTTGCCAAGCAGGGTCTCCATACTGTGGTCGAGGGAGCGCGGCAGTCGTTGGGAGCACACGCCTCCTTGCCAGATATCCCAGCAGGTAGCACGAATGCTTTGGGGGTCCATGTGAGCCGGCGCTTGCCCCGAGGCCAGAAATTCATCCCAATCGGAGGCGTAGGCTGTGCATTTGCTCCACGCAAAGCCTATGCCAGTGCCGTGGCTTCCAGTGCTCAGATCATTCAGGATGGTGACCAGGTCACGGGCTCCTGCACCGTAGTGCTCAGCGTCATCGACATAGCATGCAGAGGACACGTTGCGCCCTGCTGCAGTGGTGTATCGCGCACTACTGCCTTCGTGTAAGCCGAGGATGGGATCCTGGGCTGCTTTCGACAGTTCCGGCCCCGAAACCGAGCCCTGGGGCAAGCCTCTCTTCAGGTGGATCGTGGGTGATGGCCCCCACCTCGTCTGCACCTGTACTTGGAAGTTGCTGAAGGCCGAGAGGTATAATTGCCGAACTTCAGTTGGGATCCCACGGGCCTGCATAACTGCATCTGTTGCCGGGACGGAGATGCAATTGAAGAATTTCTCATAATCGGCCGGGATCCGGCACATGGGCCTTTCATGGGCCGTTGCGTCCTCCACCAGCAGGGTGTCCAGCACGAGCACATCCACGGCTGCCTGCACCTTCGGGTCGTAAGCTCGATTGGCTTGGGAGTAAACACTACCCGGCGGGAGGAGCGCACGTTCGCTTGCCAGTCGTCTGGTGACAGGCCCTTCCACCGCTTTGAAACACTCCTCTAACAATTATCTAAATAATTCAAATCGGTGGGATTCATGGCTTGGCTCAGAACAAGCAACGATTTCAATTATTTAAATCCGCCGGGCTCTCTTGCGGATTTAAATAATTGAAATAATTGAAATCAACTCTGCTGATTTAAATTATTTCAATTATTTCAATTATTTAAAATAATAGTAGTCATGCAGAAAAGAATAAAGCGTAAAATAGACCCTAGAGGCGCCTCTCTCTCTCTCTCTCATATATATATATATATATGAGGCAGGAACCTTTATGTATAATGTGACTCTCTCTCTCTCTCTCTCTCTCTCTCTCTCTCTCTCTTGTTTCAATATTAGACTATACACTGCACTATTCTGCTACTGCTTCTGCTACTGCTGCTACTACTACTACGACGACGACGTTTATGCCAACGATGACGACGACGACTACGACGTCAACGACTACGACGTCAACGACTACGTCCCAAACCTTTAACCTTGAGCGCCCAATGTTGAGGGGGGGACCAGACTTCTTTGTTTGAAGGTTGGGGGGGGAGCCCACCCTGAGTGAGTGAGTGAGTGAGAAGCGGCACCCGTTGCAGACGGGGCCATGCCGAAGGCGCTATCCCTCCCGGCGTCTCAGGGGCTCCGTAAACGTCATTGCCTTTCCACTTGGAGTTCAAACTGGCAGGGCGCCCCGGGCTCCGTAAAACGTCATTGCCCGGAAGTGAGATGAGTGGTCACAGCTAGGCTTGCTCATGCGCAGAGGTTACGAGGGCCCCCGCTGCATGAACAAGCTCTTCCCGTGTATCTGGATCACTGAAAGAGGCCGCGGACGCATCCCCGAAAGTACAGGCCACACCCGTGCAATCAGAGTGCAGTGTTGGGCCTTGCGGAGCAGCCATAGTAGAGCAGGCACAGCTACACAACCGGGGCCCTAGGCAGCGGCCCATTGCGCAGCATCCCGGTGAGTAGCGACGATCTCCTCCTCCTCTTCAATACATGGGAGAGAGCTTGCGATCAAGAAGAAACGACGGAGTTCTTCCAAACTTCAAACCGTGACAAGAAAAGTCCGGTCCTCCCTGCGGCCTTCAAAGGGTAGTGAGAAGCCCTCTACCTCATCCTCTGAAACAAGAAGAGAACCCAATTCAAGTTACTCTTGGTAAGAGAAGACAGCTTCTTTCTAGAAGAGAACTCCTTTACCTCTTGGCAAATTTTCATCCTAAGGTTTCTGTTACATACATACATACATGCATACATACATATATACATATATACATATATACATATATACATATATACATATATACATATATATATATATGTATATATAGGTCACCCCAGCACCCCTGACAGACCACACCCTTGAAAACACCGATCCCACCGGCGAGATCGTGCTTGTTCCAGGGGTATCGAGTTTGAGTCCTGGTTTCGTCTGTCTGGAGGCCCCCAAGCCCGAGACAAAAGAAAACAAAAAACCAAAGGTTCAGGGAGAATAACGGAACAGTTTGTTTTTTGTGTTGGTTGTTTTCTGAAACATTGTGAGTTCCTCCAAAAAGCAAAAAAACAAAACTGCCCCGGGATTCTCCATTCTCCGTGACTCTTTGTTCTTTTGTGTTTTTGGTTTCGGGCTGCCTCCTCGGTTCGACCCATATTACCATTATGCCTCATATCAGCGCTTCGAAAGCTACCAGCACTGTGTGCACTACTAGCATTACTGTGGACATGGCAAGTACTGTTTCTGTAACTGCTATTGGCTGCTACCGCTGCTATTGGTTCATTTTCTAATTCCTAAGCATGGCTATCATTTCTTTGGTTATATTATTATGTTCGCTCTTGTTGTTATGACAATTTTGAAGAGTATTATCATCCATGTTGCTATGCTTGCGTTTGCATACAGTTTGCTAAGGTTCCAGTATTTTCGGTTATGATCATTCTGCTATTAAGAGTCTGGCCGCTAGTAGGACTCCTGTTGCTGGTTTACACGTTCGATATTTCTGCCATTACTGTTGTTATTACGAATGCGTTTTTCGCTATTATTACCATTGCTACTACATAGAATATTATTTCTGCCAGTATCATTGTTACTACTGTCGTTATTACGACTATAATATTTGTATGACCACCAGAAATACAGTAACTTCGGAGGGCTTGCTGCGAAAACTCCAGCTCGCAAGGGGAAGCTTGTTTCGGGGATGATGACGACGTTGTTTCGCGGACACGCCGAACAATCTCTCCACACCCGAGTGCGCACACACCACACACTACTTCAAAAGCAAACCCTCCTACGCCGAGGTCTGGGCTGTGGGGGTCTTGGCAAGCCCCTTCCACCTACAGCTGGCTTGGTTTTTGATGATTATAAGATGTTGCGCTTCCGGTTTTGGGAGCGCTAAAACCTTCTAGGCAGCACATGCGTTCTGCACTGTATGTACAGCGTTTTCGATTGTCATGTATTATCCGACCACCTGTGGTTTAGCAGTTTCTTCTCCGTTCGCTGCGTGCTCACAAACAACAGTTTCAGCATCTCATGCCTCTTGCAGTCGGACAGTGTGCCGTTCAAGACAAGCACGAAACCCCTCAACTTGACCCAAATGATGAAGATGACGATGCTGATGATGATGATGATGATGTCAGCTTCTGCCACACACTATCTAAGCTCGGCAAAACCTCCAAAAACCCTACCCTCCTCATGCCGCATGCCTGGCTCTCCTTTGCTGAAATCAATGTAAGAACCAAGGCAAACGCATCCGGATTGCCACCAAAACGTAGCGTCAATTATGGACCGCGCCCCTACTACTGCTACTGCTACTACTGCTACTACTGCTACTACTGCTACTACTGCTACTACTGCTACTACTGCTATTACTGCTACTACTACTACTACTACTACTACTACTACTACTACTACTACTAGCACTAGCACTAGCACTAGCACTAGCACTAGCACTAGCACTAGCACTAGCACTAGCACTAGCACTAGCACTAGCACTACCACTACTACTACTACGTGTACTACTACTACTACTACTACTACTACTACTACTACTACTACTACTACTACTACTCCTGCTAATACTACTACTACGACGACTACTACTACTACTACTACGACAACTACTACTGCTACTACTGTCACCACGATTGCAACTTTACTTCTATGGCTTTGACTGCCTCCGCAACTGTTCTGACTACCGTGACTTTACCTTTCGTTCTTTCGTTTTGTTTGTCTTTTCGCGTGTATTGCTTGTATTACAAATATTACTCTTATTAAAGGATTTATTGTTGCTTTGATTATGTGTTGTTACCGTGTCTCTATTGGTATTATGACTATTAATACTGTTTTTTCTTGTGATTACTGTCGCTAGCATTATCATCGCTATTTTTCTAACGCAATCGTACTATGTGTAATGTTGCTACCAGAAACATTAGTACTGCAGCAACTACTATGGTGCTACTGTAATTACACGTCGTTGTTGCTACTGTATGTACTACTAAGACTGCTAACTATGTCATTTCATAGAAGGGTTACGAATATTGCAACTGGTGCTTTCACTCGTATTGCTGTGACCGCCACCTCAATACTATTATGACGCTTTTGACTTTATACCTTACTCCTCATAGTCATATGGAAATCAGTACGTCATACGAACGTCACCATGCTTACTATTTTTACTCGCATTGCGGTTATGGTTATGGTTGTTATTGCCGCTACTGTTATTATTACAAATACTACTGGTACTCCAGTCTTCGTTGCCATTGTTGTTGCGATTTCTACTCCTACTACTGTTACATCGACTACCATTGCTGAGCTTTTTGCTAATGTTGTTACTACTGTTGCTGTGCTATTCGTATGAGGAGGATAGTTGCTACTACTGTTCTTATCAGTATACTAGGCCCTGGAGCACCATTAATGCTCTTGGTATTAACGCTGGGGGACACCTGATAGTTATCTTTTGCACTCTTTTGCACTATTGGTACCAATGTTTTTGGAATTACTAATACGAATATTTTTATGATTGTTGTCATTACTTTCGGTTTATAATTGTGTTGCTACTACTATTGCGACTCTAATTATTGCTGTCGTTCCAATGTTTTTGTTATTTCTGGTATTACGAATATCAATATGGTTACTATTCTTTGTATAAGCTAATTTACCACTGTTGTTACTGCCATGTTTGCAATTACAATCTTGTTATCAGTACTAACAATAAAATTACTATGATTTTTACGATGATTACTATGTGTACAGTACAAGTACCACTGGTTTCACTATTGTATATGAAACTGCATAGACCACAGCAGCCCGAGGCAGATACAATTAACGATAGGCGGTTACTACTTATTAGTAGGTACCTATCGTGCTTAGCGGGCGGCATCATCCAAGACTGGTTGCCGGCGTCCACCATCAATGACGACGATACACACCGATCTGCTGTTTACTCTATACAGCCACGCAAACATGTGACATGTAACAATACCGTTGTTCCACCCTTCCCCTTCCCCACGACGGTCTGTAGGGGAGGGCTTGAGCATGCATATATATATATATATATATATAAATATAAATATATATATATATATATATATATATATATATATATGTATATACATATATATATATATATTTGTTTGTTTATTTATAATTATTTATATATATATATACATGACATAGTGCTTCGAAGTGGTTGATATTGAATCGAAGCTATTCCGATTGCACGGAATCCGTCTCGTTTCGGTTTGGAAACCACCGGCCGCCTGCTCTTCAACAGGACAGCCCGCCACAACGAGGCTCCTGGGCATCACATGGTGTGCTCCTTCTATCTCTTTCTCACGGTCTTTCGCAACTCGGACCAGCCTGAGCTCTTTCATCACCTCCAGGGGCTTCAGGGCCGACGCATCGGCGAAGGCGTTTTGGGAGACGTCCAGGACTTTGAGGGCTGCCTGCTGCGCGCTAGGCCAGAGGAGGGCGGGGTTGTTCGTGGTCTTGCAGAAGATCAATAACAGGTCGGAGGCACCATTTCATGCCAGGGGGCGATCAGCGATTCGAACTTATTCTTGGAGATCTCCAGAGTGGAGAGGCAGGGAAGCCTAGCCGGAGGGCGAAGCGAGGGTCCACCTAGTACGTCACCTCAGGACGCTCCGACCTCAAGATTGCACGATTAAGTCCGTTGCTCCTGCTATGACATCCTGCTAATTGCGGTGGGACTCGTCTCAAAAATGGTTAGCAATTGGGAGCAGTTTCGTAACTTGCATTGCTGCCTGCTTGCAATGTTCCGCATTGCCATGCTCAAGCTCGCTTCTCGAAAGTATCGGCAGGAAGCGTCTCTTCTGACGACTGTGCGATTGGTCTGGCTCTGGCAAGCTGCACTTGGTAATGCACCTCCAGGCCACCATCCGGTCACTTCGGCGGCCCTACGGGCCTGCCTGTAGACGTCGTTGAGGTCGGCGAGTGCGTTTTCGCTCAACTGCAACAGCAATTACAAGCTTCTACCAATGCGGAGCTCAACGAAGAAAGAAGATACCTCATATGGCTTCGTGTCCCAGGCCTCCAAAACCTCAAGTTTCGGGCTTTTGTTTAATCCAGCTGCCTTAGCCGAACTTGTCAGGATAGAAGCGGCGGTCCTGTCTGAACGCCAGGCTGGGAGCTGGGCCGAAGCCAGCTGGTTTGATGAAAGCCGCAGCGTCTGCAGCGTTGAGTGGCCCTGAAAGTCGGCGCACCTGCGCAGCCGTCACTGTGACAAGCAGACACAAACTGAAAACTACAGCTGGTTAACCACCCTAAGCTCGCAGCGTGGAAATCTGGTTGAAGCGGAAGTCGGCCCGCCTCAGAAAATCGTGCTCTGGCTCTAACTGCGTGCTTTGCTGTATCTCTCTGGTCCCGGGGCCTCACCTCAACGCTGGCATGTGAAGCCTCAGCTCCGAGTTCGGAATATGCGAGGCGAAGATTCGCTTTGCGGGTGCCAAGTCACTGCGGCAGCTCCTGGAGCTGATTCTTGCTCAAATCGAGGAACAGCAGGTGAGGAAGCTCCTCACCATCATAGGCGAGAGAGGCAGGAACGGCGACGCCAGCAGCACGGATGATGGGCCTGCGCCGCCCAGTCCAGCTTGGGGATAGCATTCGACCTGCTGCGAAAGCTGTTCTCGCTCAAGCTGAAACGAGTGCTCGATCAAACGTAGACAGCAGCACGAGAGGTTGAGTGAAAGGACATGTTGGAGCTTGCCGACTGGACTCACATCCTTTCAGGCGGGAGCTGCTTCAGCCCTGGAAGGCGAAGGCGAGGGTCTGCCTTGCTGCTGCCTTGCCTTGCTTACTGTGGCAGCTAGCAGTTGTTGGGGGTCCTTGATGCAGTTCCGTGACAAGTCCAGGTGTCGAAGGAAGGGATACCTTGAGCACACAGGCTCCCTGCAGCCGTTAGCAACCGCAGAGCCAGGCGCTGGGCTCGGCAAGAAGTCCGAGACCACGAATCTGCTTGCTGATGCCTCGGACTGAAACAGATAGGGGTTTTCTTCCAGAGCCGGTCGTCGCGACACGCTAAGGGGCCAGCAATCCACGCGCGAGTAGACAAAGCCTCCACAAACTCCAAGCACCATTCAGGATGCACGCGCCTGTCCTTTCAATTACGAGTAACTACTGAGGAGAGTTCTCAGTTTCGTGTGAGCGGAGAAACCCCCGCCCCATCAAATGACCACCACCACCACCACCACCGCCGCCGCCGCCGCCGCCGCCACTACACGGCGGGGAGCGGCGGTTGCCACCCCATCACCCAGTACCTCCAGCTCCGCTTTAGCAGGTGCAAGCGCGGGCACCTCCTCCTGCCACAGTCTTGCTGACCTCGGACAGCTGCATCGCCTGTAAGATTGCAAATCGAGATGATTTGATGACCGCATGATGACATTTGTCCTACGAGTAGCCTCCGCTGTCAGGTCGACACCCTCGTCGCCCGCCATTGCCGTGCAACGTCACAAACCCCAATTGGCACACCTACAGATAGGCAAATCCCTGCAAACGTCCAAGCTTTGTCTGTTGCCCATCAGTTGCTTCAGCACTGCACGGACGGCTAGCACTTCGTCAGATCCGTCAGCTATCAGAATTAGTGGTTGTATCAAATGCCTGTGCGCACAAAGACAAGGAATGGGTGGCTGCCAAAGCATCGCTGTCTGAATGCTCTGGCGGATTCTTTGCCGCTGTTCCGAGGAAGTCGTGGGATCGCAGCCATGAGCACTGCTTGCCCAATAATATGCTCTGCAGTATAAAAGGATCCCACTTGGTGGGTTCCTTGATCTGCAGTGGTGATATGAAAAGCATCAGAGATGCGACGAGTGGACACCATCACCAAATCTCAATCTTTCTTCACTCAGTCTAAGGCTATCTTCATGCATCTGCGATGTGACGTGCGCGATTCTTCTCAGCAGCTTCAAGGCTTGGACGTTCCACAGGGGTGTATCGAGCAAAGCCATGTTCCTTAGCCAATGGATCGATATGCCTGATTTTACGGACGTCCAAATCCGTCAGGGAGCCTTTATTACTTTGCTGTTTGGCTCTGCGCACGCTGTAGCAGTGCGCGATGTGATCCGCTAGCCATGCGTGTTCCGACATGCCTCCACCAACAGCGGTGTTGTTCAGGGCATGTACAGAATGCTCGGACCGCGCTAAACGGAGCATGGATGAGCATGGTACGGTTTGTCTGCGGGCTTGTGAGAACACACGGCTTGCTAACGACCCGCGCATTCGGTTGTAGCTAACAACCATTTGCCAGCGGCTTTATTCATTTTCGGGCAAGTATCAGTAGGCCTTCGACGAACTCCGCCTGTGTCAGATAGTTGTTCTCGTCAACGTCCAAGATGTCGAAGAGGTCTACAACGTCATCCTGGCGAAACGCCCGACGTCTCTGCCAATTCACCACTCCGGTGGTTCTCGGTCCGCTCTCATCTGAAAGGTGAGGACACACTCGGACAAATTGGGACGTGTTGGTGGGCTTCTGGGACTTCAGTTCAGGCAAGCGGCGATGGGCAGGTTGTCCAGCAAAGCTTGTGGCAAATGCTGCAATGCATTGTTTTGCAATTGATCTCTGCTGATGCCTTCGTGGAGGGTGCAAGCTGAAGCCAACTCAACAAGCAAATCAGAGTTGCAGATAGCTGTGCGGGATGTTGGCCCTCCGGCCCCCGTGATCCCACTCATGAAAATTGCCACCCTGCACCGCACCAACATTTGAACAGCTCGAGCAGACTGCAGCCTGGAGCCTGCTTATTTTCAACGGAAATCACGTGCTGTGCAACAGGAGGAGTGTGTGCGTGTGTTTTTTCGTGTGCTATACAGTGTGCGTGGGATCTGGGCGCCAAACCGTGCTACGCCAATCAGCCGATAAGCCGATCAGCCGATCGGCTGATCACCTGGACGGCTTGCACTCCAGGTCAAGACTGGCTGCTCGGCTGATCGGCTTATCGGCGTAGCACGGTTTGGCAACACGAGAGCTCTTTACCCACATCGCAGTAGAGCACGGACGCCATTAGGCTGTGGGCATTGATGCTTTGTTCCCACATCGCAGTAGTCCACGGATGTCATTAGGTTTTGGGCATGGATGCTCTGTTCCCGAATCGCAGTAGACCATGGACGTCGTTAGGTTTTGGGCATGGATGGTTCCTGAATCGCAGTAGACCATGGACGTCCTTAGGTTTTGGGCATGGATGGTTCCTGAATCGCAATAGACCATGGACGTCATCAGACGTTGGACATGGGAGCTCTTTTCCCAATAGACTCCATGGATGTCATCAGGCGTTGGCATGGATGGTTCCCGAATCGCAGTAGACCATGGACGTCATCGGGCGTTGGACATGGCAGCTCTTTTCCCAGTAGACCATGGACGTCATCAGGCGTTGGACATGAGAGCTCGCAAAAGACCAGGGACGTCATTAGGCCGTGGACATGATCCAGCCGATCAGCCGTCGCACTAGACCATGGACGTCATTATGTCTTGGACATGGGTGCTCTGTTCTCACATAGCAGTATCATGGACGTCATCAGGCGTTGAAATGGGAGTTTTTTCCCAAAGAGCAGTAGACCATGGACGTCATGAGGTCGCACTAGACCATGGACGTCACTAGGTCTTGGGCATGGATGCTCTGATTGAAATTGGCGGACTTTTCACCTTCACTGCGAAGCTGACTGAAGTGCTCAAGGGGCCCCTACGGCAGCGGTGCAGGATATATACAACATGCATGTCATGGTCATGGCTTTCCTACACATGCACAGGCAAGGGTGGATTCACACTCAACCTGTTCTCATGCCATGACATTGAGGAAAATATCACATTGAGGAAAATATCCTGATCAACCACATGAGGTACAATAGGCATTGTCCTGTTGCAAGTGGCGTCTTCAAGTTACCGTAGCGCGGGCTCAGCTACTATGGTACATACAAGGTGTCCGTTTGTGTAGCGTCTGCGGTCTACACCTACAGTTTTGCACGACTTCCACTGTGCACACCAGATTCGATCAGTTTTATGATGAAGTCTGGTTTCATGGATTTTGTGAAACAATCTGCGGCCTGAGTGTTGTGTCAACCCAGTCCACTCTATCTCCCCCGGCGGGGTAGATATCAAAAGTGCGAGCGCCGTCGTCTGTAAAGATCGACTGCCTGAGGGCGCTCAATTCAATCTGTAGCCGCTTGTCTTGCACACGGGACGGAGCTTCCGTGTTTAGGTGATCTGCCAGGCTGCGGCAGTCGGTCAAACACACGTGCGGGACTTGCGTCCTAGCACGAACCTCCCAGTCAGGACCGGAGCTACCGAATCCGTAGATTTCGGCCAAGGCTGCTCTGATACGGTCCCCTGCTTCCTGTGCACTCTGCAAGGCGTAGGTTTCTGCTTGGAAAGTTGCTCTGCATACTCTCTTGATCGTCGTGGAGGAGAAGGAGACGATCATTGTGTCGTAACGACTAGAATGCGGGTCGCGAAGCTGCCTAGCAGGAGCGAGGAAGTGGATACGTCCCTGCTGAGAACGATCCCCCTTCTCGCCTGCGAAGCTCGCGTCTGACGCAGTCAGGAAGCCAAGACTCTCGTCCCTTCAAAGCAAGTTCCAGAACCTTGTTAGCCTCATGGAGAGCGCTAACCGTTGCACCTTTGAACGAGCTCTGGAGCTTCGATACACGGTAAAGGATGTCTGGCTTTGCTTGCCTAGAGATCCACGAAAGGCTGCCGATTACGGAACGTAGCTGGCGCTCTTCACCTCGGTCTACAGGATCCGAGTGCTTCCTACCTGCCTTGACATCAATGTAAGTGATTTTGTTCGTATTATCGGTGACGTCGATTAATACATCTTTTCCGGATGCGTCAAATTGTTTACCGCAGAAGCGTAGTCTTCCAGACTCGCGACGGCCTACTTCGAACTTCTTTAGAAGCCTATCAATGATAGTGCCTCCTTTGCCTATCGATGCCCACAAGAAGTCATCGACGTGAGTGGTCAAAACGCAAACTACTTTTCCGGCGGCGCGGTAAAAGTAAAACGCGGGAAAAATACTACTCACCTGGAAGCCGACCTCGCGTGCTTCCCGATCCACCTTTCTCCAGAATCCGCGACCGCCGTCGCAGAGTCCGTAGACAGGTACTCTGATGAGAAGCATTGCTTCCGGGTCTACCCCTGGAAGGCCACCACCAGGTTGTCTCATGAGTACAACCCTGTCGATTGGCTCAACCTGAAAATAGGCATTCCGGATATCGGATGATTCCACGGGAACCCCGGTGGAAGCGGCGAAGGCTGCGACTAGCGCATGCGTCTCCAGCTCTGAGGTAGGCGCATCTGTGCGAACTTCAGTGGAATCAAAAAAAATTTCCACAAGACACCAGTCGGGACTTGAACTCAGGTTCATAGTCCGGCTTAAGACGTTCATGGTAGTTCTTAATTGTATCGACCCACTTAGATGGTATCGGAACGTGACCGGCATCTAGCAGTTCCTGCAGAGGTGCTCCTTTCAGCGGAATCGCCGCTTGAAAGTCTTCGTACTTTTTCCACTCCTTGGCGCGTGACCCGTCGATTCTCGATTGTACGGTAGGAGTGCATTCCCAGTATTTCAAGGCCTCCGGGAGGTCCTTGAGTTCCTGCTCAACCTGTTCTCTCGAGAAGAGAGACGGTTAGACCAAAAACCTCTGAGTTTCTGGCGAATACTCACGTTCGCTTCTTCCTCTTGTCTGCGTTCCTCATGTTCCTCGAAACGACTCCTAATAGATGCTGGTAAGTCATCTAAAAGGTCTGCACGGCTACTCCTCCTGCTGTGGGTAGGAGTCCTTTCTGCGTCGGGTTCGACGGTGCTAACACGTCGGGAACGGGAAGAAGAGGCTGGAGGGGGCGACCTAGATCTACCTCTATCCGGTTGTTCTTCCATCGCTTCATCCTCAAAGATTGATGAGAGTGGACCGGGGCCGTCCAGGAGACCATAAGATGGTTCTCATTCCTCTTCCTGACGTACGTCCCCAGTAGGGGTATCCTCGGTTTCCTCATCATCGATGTCCTCGCTCGGTACATCTCGATCTCTGAGATCCTCGAAGTGCTGCTGGCCACGCACCAGCTCATCGGGCAATACAGGTTCTCCTTGGAGAACTGCGTGGGCAAGTGCTTCCGCATCCTGCGCGGGCCTAAGGTTTTGTGGTGACACGAAAACCGGGACGTTTTGTGCGTGGCATTTGGTCTTGATGATGTTCCTTGTCGCTCACCCCACCGAGCTATTGGGTAATGATGTGGTTGCCCTCAACAGACTCGATATGCTCTCTCCTTCACTCCCACGTATAAGCACTACTCCCAGGGCAGGCAGATCCAGAGCTCGCTTGTTTTCCACCTTCGCGGCCAGCGATGGATCGTCTGTGCTCGGGATGGCTTTGTTCCTCGGAAAGGTCACAGAAGACGAAAGCTGTATCAGCTATCGGCAATGCTTTCTAGAGCTTGTGCTCATTCTTGAG